CATCTATGGTTCCATGAAGAAGCTTTAACATCCATGGAGCCTTTCAATTGCATAAAAATTAAAATAAATAAAAAGCCTGTTTATGCCACGTCATAAAAATCTAATTTTTATCTCACAATTCTGACTTTTTTTCTTGCAATTGTGAGCTATCAACTCAGTATTATGAGATATAAAGTCAGAATTTCGAGATTTGTGAAATAAAAAGTTGCATTTACCTTTTTTTTTATTTTTATTCTGTGGCGGGAACAAAAACAATTGTGAGATGCACAATCAGAATTCTAAGGAAAAATGTCAGAATTGTAAGATATAAACATAGAATTGAAAGCTGTAACCTGAAAAACTGAGTTTATATTTCGCAATTCTGATTTTTTTTTTCCAGAATTTTGGACTTCGGAAATTGGACTCGAGATAAAAGTCTAATTTGTTAGATATAAAAAATTGCAATAGTTTTTTGTTTTTTTTTAAGCCTTTTTGAATTTTTAAGTGTATACACATAGTGGAGTCAAGAGGCAAATACATTATGATATGAGAGAGAGCTAGGCTTCCTGCAAAAGTCATTATCATCAAATCTACATTTGGTACACATCCCGCCTCCAAATCAGTGCGTTTACATACAACATGCCATCATATGTGTTTAGTTGCATGAGGTCAAAGTGATATAACACTTTTGGCTGCTTTAGACATGTTGCATTTTGACATCTGTCTAACTGGGCTCTATGAGAAGGGCAAATAAAAGCACATGGACTCGCAAGCACATGAATCATGACCGTGTTTGGCTAAAATGTGACATCCTATGAACATCAACGTAGCAATGTCGACATTTCAGTATGCGACAAATGTACAGGAAAAGTGTCATTTATTTGACATCATCTGTTCTCTGCTTGGGAATTTGTTAAAGGCTTTTGGCAGTCAATGCGAGTCCTGCCCTATCACAATGCACTTAGGCAAGTATTTTGTTGCTAATTTTATCACACTATCAGTTTATGAGGGAAGGTATTATGAATCTAGGATCCAACAAAAAGGCAATTCCCAAGCAATATTGATTTTCTAACTTCAGTTAAATTTTAACTGATGTATTTGTTTATATTTTGATATTGTTACAAGACAACTTGAAAAAAAATGTTTTTATGTTACAAATTAAGAAGTGCAAGAATACCCAAAAGCAGTGACAAATTCTAATAAAAAAATAACACATACTATTAAATCAATACATTACAGCATTAATTTGTCTTTCAGTTCAAATCTTTCACATTACAATGAATCAATATAATATCAATGACATGTTTAAATAATCCAAAAAGGTAAAGTAACTATTTTAACATGGTTTAACTGTTCAAATCATTTTATGCAAATTTAAGCATCTTCCTCTTATTTTGAACTTTAAACTTGGAAGAACTTTTGTATTTACCACATTGTGAATACTTTCAAAATATGAATTTGTAGCTTTAATAACACCAATGCAAAAATTTAATAAATTACAAAAAATTAAAATCATTATTAATTTCTCACGTCTTTAGTTTTTTTCTGTTTGACTGGGCATGATTTATCCATAGATCTAGTCAGTCTGAGATGTATGACTGTTTTCCAGAAGAGGTGAGCAGTCCAAGGTCCATTTCAAACAGCTTAAAGGTTCCAGTGCTTTATTTACTGTATATTATGATGATTCATGATGCCCAGTCCTGCTATGCCATAACAGTCTCATGTAAAAGAGCATATGAAGTGACTAACTTGCAAAGTTACTTGAGACCTGTGATTAACTCTTAAAAATTGTGATTATGGGCTCTTTCTTCACCTTTGCTGAAAAAAGCAGTTGTCATTAAATGAGTAGTGACATTAATGACATTAAGTAGTCATTAAATAATTCTGAAATTTGTTAGATTAAGTATTATCCTTCCTCTGTGGCTGACGCGGTCATCGTCAGCATAAGACAGCGATATGCATACATCACACAGCTGTCACACGCCCTCCATTTCTTTATCTCTCATCCGAATGCTTTTTCGTTCCAGTTGAAGTGTCCTTATGTGATGTTTTTGTTACATAAGTGAACTTCCATCCATAGTGAAGCATGGATAAAGAAAAATATAAGTGCAGTAGTTATGAAATTTCGTTACATATGAGGCAGAGATACAACATGCTTTGACGTATCACGTGCTGTCAATCAGTTTGAATGGATTTAATCGGGACAGACAGCAGTTTCACTATATTAGCAGCAATTTCTAGTATGCACATTGATTGTGCATTGATAACTATGCTGACTACGCTTTACAATAGCATTTTATTCGGGGGAGTGATAAAGAGACCGCATGTTCTCATACTCCTTGGCAGTCAAATGTGTAACTTTTAATCGATTAAATAATTGTACTATATTTTAGTTCAGTTCTATTTAGTTAATATTTTGAGGAGATTTTTGGTACTAAATAATATGTGCAATAATTATGATCAATGAATAACCATTTAAATGTAACATTTTCTAATGTTTATTATTTACATTGCAATTAGTGTAGCTTTTAGGGTTAAAATAGAGAAAACACTTTTTTAATTCTAGTGCAAAGAGGCAAATTGGGCATTTGGTGGCCGGAAAAATAATATTCATATGTAATGCCATGGTTTAACCACTAGATGCCCCTATGGCGGTTGAATAAATATACACTCTAAAAAATGCTGGGTTAAATACAACCCAGTGCTGGGTAAAATAGGGACAAACCCAGCAATTGGGTTGTTTTGACCCAGCGGTTGGGTTACTACCCAGAAGGTTGGGTTAAACATTTAACCCAACCGCTGGGTCAAAACAGCCCAATTGCTGGGTTTGTCCCTATTTTACCCAGCACTGGGTTGTATTTAACCCAGCATTTTTTTAGAGTGTAGCCTACTACATGTAGTTAGGTCTACTCTAGTTGCTAAAAAGAGTACTGCCGGTCATAATTGCTTACTTATTTTTTTAGGTTTTGAATTTTTTATGTATATTTAGACATGATCAAACACTAGATTTTAAGTTTTGATTTTTTTTAAATGTTAAATTTAAAAAGGTTACTTACATCTCAGTGTTATTTTTTATGATATTCACATAAGCAACAACGTGTCCCCTCGGTTTTAATGAGCATTCTCTGATCTCAGGAACAGAAAACTAAATTTCTGTTGAAAAATGTTCTGTTGTGATTGATTTGTTTTGGTTTGAGTTCACAGAGTCACAAATATTGTATATGTAAAAACTACAAGTTTTTATTTTTTTTAATTAACCCCATATTTTGGGTTGTTTTGACCCAGCGGTTGGGTTACTACCCAGAAGGTTGGGTTAAACATTTAACCCAACCGCTGGGTCAAAACAGCCCAATTGCTGGGTTTGTCCCTATTTTACCCAGCACTGGGGTGTATTTAACCCAGCATTTTTTTAGAGTGTAGCCTACTACATGTAGTTAGGTCTACTCTAGTTGCTAAAAAGAGTACTGCCGGTCATAATTGCTTACTTATTTTTTTAGGTTTTGAATTTTTTATGTATATTTAGACATGATCAAACACTAGATTTTAAGTTTAGATTTTTTTTAAATGTTAAATTTAAAAAGGTTACTTACATCTCAGTGTTATTTTTTATGATATTCACATAAGCAACAACGTGTCCCCTCGGTTTTAATGAGCATGACGCCTCTGATCTCAGGAACAGAAAACTAAATTTCTGTTGAAAAATGTTCTGTTGTGATTGATTTGTTTTGGTTTGAGTTCACAGAGTCACAAATATTGTATATGTAAAAACTACAAGTTTTTATTTTTTTAAATTAACCCCATATTTTCCACTCAAATTATTTTAATACGTTCCTCAGACCTAATATTTCTGTAATATTACTGAAGTTCTATCCCTGTACATATAATGATTTTATAATAATAATGCATAATCATATTGTTAACAACTAACTAAAAATTGTCAAATGAACAAATGAAAGTCATATGGATTTGGAACAACATGAGGGTGAATTTAATTTTTTTAGTGAAATAGCCCTTTAATCCACTTAAAATGTATAAAATATAAACTTATTATAAAAAAATATATATAGTTAATTTGTGTGCTTGTGCTTTCTTAAAGCAAATTACACTTATTTTTTATTATGTAATGCAATGGCATTCATACATTTGTAGGTGTGGATTTTGGGGCCTCCACAGAAATAATCATCTCATAGTATAATGCACCTGGATACTTGGAGTCATCCCCCACCTGTCCGGCACTCATGAAATAAATATTTGAATATTAAATACATCACCTTACAGGACTTAATTGTCCTCTGTCCTAGACATGTGTGAACTCAAACTCTCTCCTGTGAGTGTCCTACCCTAACCCATAATTCATTCCAAACCTTTGAAAAAACAGGTTAAACCTGATCTAAAAAAGCAAGAATGTCAGTTAAAAGCCAAAACAGACACACCACCTCACATGCTTTACAGGACAGAAAGACATACTAAAATAAACAGACGGAAACATACTTAATACAAATCCAAGCGCATGAAATGATACGATTACATGTACACTTCCTTACCATGGTTACCGGATTTAGTTTATTGTCATAACTTAACCTTGCTATATTATAAGCCTAGTGGACATTAAAATTGGTGGAAAGATCTATAGATTTTTAGGTTCTTTTTGACCTGCAAGCAACCTCCTAGCAGCCACACAGAACACCATAGCAACTGAATATCATCATGATAAAGACCACTCTGAAAGCCTTAGAAACTGTAAAGAATCCAACTATAACACCTTTACGGTGACAAGGTTTTGTTGTTGTTGTTTTTATTTTATTTTATTAAATGTTAAGACCTAGCTTTATGGTACATTCACACTGGAAGAATGTTGTAAAAGCAGTAATTAGTTCCAGATCTTCCCTTCCTTTTATTCAGATGTAAAGGCTATTGGCTGGTTTATAATGAAACCCTAGGGACATTTATGTATCCAGTGCCACACCAAGAAATTATGCTCCACAGATTGTTTATTTTTCCTTTATTGGATAAGACATAATTACAATAATTTATACCTGAGGTAAGAATAGTTTACAAAAAGAAATTAGCAAAAGGTGGTTTTAAAAAATACATTTATAGGAGAACATGAAAAGACGGGAAAGTCTATCTATTATCACATGAATTATTATTGATGCACTAAATGATACAGTAAATACCATTTGTTTGTGTAAACATCAGTTCAACAATTATAAGTGATGTCAGATGAGTAAAGCGGGTTGAGGGCAGACGTTTCAGAAGGATTTCCATCTGATGGCTGAGAAAACGGTGTGGATGACATACAGCAAAGTGGTGAAAAAGGAAAACACCTGAAATTAAAAAGACATAAAAAGTAATCATACTTCAACAAGTCAAATGGGCAGCTGCTAGTTTAAAATGGCTTTTATTGGTGTAATCTAATGTAGTCAAGTTGATTTAATTATATGAAATCAGTTAATAAAACAATTGTTTTATTTGTTACCACATAAATCACATTTAGGTTACCTAAAAAGACATGTTTTTTATGATTTTTTACTATACGGACTCACCACAGCAGCTATGTCCAGCTTGTAAGTAAGTGTGTCTTTTAAAGATTCTTGACTGAAAATAATGGTTACAAAAGCTAGAAGCACAGAAGCACTGAGATAGAGCAGCGCTGCAAATCCATGGTATGCTACATCCTGCAGAGAGAAAAGAAAATATACAAGAACATAAGAAAATGTGTTTTGTGTCTTCATTAGGAGAGAGGAATTAACAGATAGAAAGAGAAGTAGCTGACGTAAAAAGGGAAGGTGGAAAGGGAATAGACAAAGAGAGAGATTATGAACTCACCGCGCTTGCCCAAGAGCTTCTGTTTTCATGACACCCACAGGCAAAGACCAGCAACCAGAGGAATGTAATGATGAAACAGAAGATTGCCACAGAGATCACGTATGCCTGGGGATTGGCGAACGTAGGATCGATTAATGTAGATGCAACCAGGCTCAACACCAGACCACCAAAGACCTGAGAGATGAACATAATGAAAGAAATTTTCACTTACAGAATCCCTCTTTATTCCTGAAGTTACAGAGCTTCCAGATAGTTGTACTTTTGTACAGGAAAATGTACTACATTTCCTACAAACGGATAAACAATTATTATAGAACTCTCCTACCCTTGTAAACATCTTTACAAATGAATTGTTTTCAAACTTTTCCTAAAATATTGAATCGATATCAAACTCAAAACATTGGATTAAAGAGAAAATAATGACAAAAAATGACACTTTCTGACATTTACCAGTTATGTTTTCCTGTTGAAAACTTTGGAAGATTACAGATTTGTGTATTTTTTTTTATATTTATGTACAGTATGTATTTACTTAATTATAAATCAAATCACTTTAAATAATTTGGATTTAAACAGTATAATAACCATACTTTAATACTAATATTTTATATTATTAACATTTTTTGTAAATATTAGATTTTTAACTGATTATTAAAATAAATTCAAATAAATAAAGCAGCCAGTAATTGTTGCCAGTTAAACAAATAGGTACCACTTAGAGTAATTAACAAATATTATAAAATGTTTAACACATCAGTATTTTTTATTTATTTATGTATAATTTACTTAAGCAATAATGAATCAAATCATTTTAAATAGGTTGTATTTAACACCATAAATTTGGATTGACACACTTTAATAATTTATGAGAATTAATTGCATATTTTGCTTTTTTTAATATTTGTTTTTTAATATTTGCCAATTAAATAAATAGGTACCACTTGCTTAATTAACAAATATTGTATGTTTAACACATACGTTTTTGAATTTACCTTAAATAAATTACATAACAGCTTTTTGTTTCATAGTGACATTAATGAAAACAACATCAGTAAATTAATCAGTTAATTAAAATGAACTCACAAGCTCTGGAAGGTAGAGAATGTCAGGTATGGTGCAGAATATGGCCCCTCCGCGAGGCAGGTAGCCCATTTGTCCCGTATTGGTTGCCATGTGTGCACACCTGATTGACCTCTCTTCACAGGTAGAATGAATGTGCAGAAGTGCTGAAGATGTGTTTTATTAAAGAGGCTGACAGAGTGCTGGACAGACCTGTTCATCTTGATGCATTCCATGAAGACCCACCCTGCGCAATCGCTCCATCTGAGGATTGCTGTTTTATTTACTTGCTGGGCTTTGTGTGACAAAGTCAACACTTGCTTACAAATTGCTACAGCAACCGAAGCTCATTAATTTTTGACAGTGTTGTTGGTTGTTGGCAACAACAACTTTATTTATTGTTTTATGATAAAACAACATATTATATTGTTATTCTAAATCTGTTTCTCTTTTCGAGATGGTGACATATTTGATAAATACATGTAAACACAAAATATGGGAAAAAGAAACTGAACAGAAAACAGTAGATTATATATATACAGTCAAACCAAAAGTTAATCAGACACCAGATATAATTTTTTATATTTTTTTTACTAGTGGGTGCAGGACACTGTAGTTCATTTGTGTAAGTGAGGATAGAAAAATAAAGTAAACTGACATATTATAATCAAAAATTCTTTATACAGTGGACCAATAAAATGCATAAAAATTTGGGACCAAAAACAGACACTTTGACCTGACCATGTTTTGCTTAAGTGTTATCTGACATTATCAAGATGAACTTGTTCTGACACAGTTTAACTCTTGAGTTCTTGTCATATTTTATTACCATTTTCTAAACCATAGCGAATAAACATAATGTGTGAAATGTTGAAGGTGTCTGAAATAAATTTTGGTTTGACTGTATATGTATGTATATATATATATATATATGTGTGTGTGTGTGTGTGTGTGTGTGTGTGTACACTTTTAGTAGGTCTATATACTTTCTAATTTGCCCTTTTGTTGTGGCTATGCACCTTTTGACATTTTGTAAGGCTATTAGCAAAATGAAACGTGATGGAAAATATGTTCTTTCCCTAACAGTACAGGTGATGAGAAGTCGATCTGGTTAGATTTCCTTGTGTTTAACTAGAACACAGGTGAACATTGTACGTGTCAGAGCATGACTCCAGATTTAGTTTCATAGACATTTTTGAGCGATGAATGAGATATTTCTTGCAATCCTAGTTTTGCTAATTCTTCGCACACTGTAAAAGAAATTCCGTAAAATTTACGGTAAAAAAACGGCAGCTGTGGTTGCCGGAATTTTACCGTAAAAAATACGGTAGCAACATTATAGGTTTTACAGTTTTAATTTAAATTTACAGTTAAATACCATAATTTTATTAACTGATATAATGTTAATATACCAACCTATTGAAGTACTGAAATCTGTTTTGTACCTTTGTAATACACTGATAACCACCAAATGCAGGTGGTGATGAGATAGTCACATGATGAACCAAAGCCCATCACAACCAGCTTTTAAATAATAACATATATAGAAGGTGCACAGTGTCATTCACACAAACGCTAAACACCATCATGGTAACACACATGAAACTGAAATAATGCAATAAACATTCATTTAACAACATTAGGTGCAACACACAACCCTAATATACAAAACAGATAAGAAAAAACTAAGAAGAAACATAGTTATTTCAACAAAAAAACATCAAATTTGAAATGTAACGCAGGGAATTCTGGGAATGTCAATTTACGGTTATTCACTGTAAATTATACAGTCTTTCACTTCCAAAAACGGTATACTACCGTAAAATTAATGTCCAATACATGTAATGTCCAATACAGTTTTTCACCGTATATAGTAGGGGAATTTACCGTTAACCATTTAACAGGTTTTTACTGTAGCATTTTTACAGTCTTTTACCGTTAAATTCACGGTCATTTTTTACAGTGCACTGTATAAATATAATCAAGCTCTAATATTGCATCATGTATAGTTTAAGGTGACCAGACGTCCCCGTTTTCTGGGGACAGTCCCGGTTTTTGGTGTCCTGTCCCCAAATGAAGCTGTCCGCGGAAATGTCCCCGTTTTACAGCACATTCAAAACAGCCCCGCAAATACACTGTAAAAAGCCCAGCCATATAACCTGCTGGTTTCCAGATGAATGTAGTGATTATTTTCACAGACAGAGGGGCTGCAACCCCCAACCATTAATTGGTTGCGCACGGCTATTTTAGAACATAACCAGGGGCCAGTTGCATAAACATAGACACTGTGCTAAGACTGAGTCTTAAGAACTAGTTTGAGCAACTAGCAGTTAGATAATCAGTCTCACATTTCTGTTTAAAATTGGGTCAATCTACATATTTGTAACCGACTTTCAACAGTTATGAGCAGTCTAGAAGAAAACAAATTAGACGGCTACCTTTTTAAGACTAGTCTAAATAGTTTATGCAACAGGCCCCTGGACGAGAGCAGAGACTTTGTTATAATCAATTATCAAAAGAGACACCGTTATCTGTTTCAAGGTAGCCATATACAAACTATTCATGTTAAATCAAAGTAAAACTGTTTATTTGTACAATATAACTGCTTGAAGAGGGTGCTGGATTGTTTTGCACACAATTATAACGTTCACAAAAGTTCCGCTGTGGGTGAAAAATACACCCTGATGTGAATAATAATAATAAAAATAAAAATAATAATCAAATAGGCAATTACACATGCAACAATTACATTTGCAGACAGCACATACTTTTTTGTTCAAAATAAGCCTAAAATGTTAGATAATTAGTGATAGATAAGATACATTTCCAAAAGTACAAACATACCATAACATTTTAAAGTTAAAAAGTTATTATTATATTACACAGCATATTAACAGAATTTATTTTAATAAAAAAAATAGTACAATTAGAAAGTGTTAAAGGGGTCATATGATTTCAATTTTTCCTTTCTCTTTGGAGTGTTACAAGCTCTTGGTGCATAAAGAAGATCTGTAAAGTTGCAAAGACTAAAGTCTCAAATCCAAAGAGATATTCTTTATAAAAGTTACGAGTCAGCCACACCTACCTAAAACGGCTCGTTCTAACACGCCCCCACATGTCTACGTCACTATGTGGGAAGATTTGCATAACACTGCCCAAATGTTCACGCAAAGAAAGAAGGCGTAACTTTTATTCTCGCTGTAGTTTTGTGCTTTCACGCTTGAGGTATTCGGCCAATCACAACGCACTGGATAGCTGGCCAATCAGAGCACACCTCGCTTTTCAGAACGATGAGTTTTGTAAAAATGTACGCGTTTCAGAAAGGCGGGGCATAGAGGAGAAACAATAATGTACAGTATGTGGAAAATAATGTGTTTTTTGAACCTTAAACTGCATAAACACATTTCATTACACCAAATAATGTTCTTTTTAGCAGCATCATATGACCCCTTTAATTTTTTGTGGTTTTATTTGTCACACATTCTCAGATCTATTTTGTTTTATTTTTGTAGTATGATTTTGTAAAGTCATATTTTTGTTACAATATGCCACTGTTTTGATCTGTTTGTTATTTGTAATAGTTACTATTTACTATTTTACATAGTGTGTGATTTTTGGTGAATTGTACAACTAGGGTCAAGTTGACAAATATCATCGTTATTAAGTATAATAACAGTATATGGAACCCACAACAATTTAAAAACAAAAATATACATACAATTTATTGTCCCCCGGCGGATCCGACGAAGGAGCGGCAAGCACCCCCGGCTGGACTCCGCTTCGTCCACGGTGAAAGCCGATCCGGCGATCGACAGCGCAAAGTTGATGTATTTCCTCAGCGACCAGCACAGATCAGCTCTAGGCATGACGAAGCGGATATCATCCTCTTTTGGAAGACCAAACAAAGTAGTTTCGCTTTCACAACGAAACAGAACCTTCACGACATGGCGGCAGTGGCAACAATACTACAGTGAGAATAAAAGTTACGCCTTCTTTCTTTGCGTGAACATTTGGGCGGCGTTATGCAAATCTTCCCACATCGTGACGTAGACATGTGGGAGCGTGTTAGAATGAGCCGTTTTAGGTAGGTGTGGCTGACTCTTAACTTTTATAAAGAATATCTCTTTGGATTTGAGACTTTAGTCTTTGCAACTTTACAGATCTTCTTTATGCACCAAGATCACTCTACACAATAATCTGGAAACAATGTGAATGAACACCACAATAGCTTAAGCTGCAAACTTTGCAAAACACAACATTTATGTCACTTCCAAAACTTTTGGACATGACTATGGTTTAATGCATAAACAAACCATAGCAACCTGGGATTATCATAGATGGATAAAACATTTTTATCCATCCCACAGTCTTGTATATTCGTTAACTGATCATGTCTTTTTATTTAATATTTGTATATTATTATTATTATTATTAAACTGTAATATAATAATAATATGTTAACTGTTTAGGGCTATATTTTTATTTTTATTATATTTATTGTTGTATTTCCCCTTTCAATTTGTGTATCACTTTACCTAATTAACATTCTGTATAATTATTATTAATATGCTATCATATTAAGACAATTTAAGTTTTGACTTTATGATTGTATTAACATCGGTGTGTGACAATATATGAACGTGTTGTGTTTTCATTTACAAATGATAAACGAATGATTCATTCCTCAATGAAACACTATAGCAGGGTTCTTCAAATCTTGCCCTGGAGGGCCAATGCGCTGCAGAGTTTAGCTCCAACTCTGATCAAACTCACCTACCTGTGATTTTCTAATGATCCTGAAGACATTGATTAGCAAACTCAGGTGTGTTTGATTAGGGTTAGCGCTAAACTCTGCAGGAAAGTGGATCTCGTGGGCCAGATTTGAGGATCCCTGCCTGGACTATAGTATTATAATTGTAGTATATTAGTTAGCTGAAATAAAATGAAATATATGTTAAATTCAACCTTTAAACTGCACTTCCAGTAAAAATTCCAGTCATACAGCATAATCAAAGTTTTATTGGCATGTCTTCTTAATGAGCAGAAGAGACTTCTTTAAAAAAAAAAAAAAAAAAAACTTTACAAACCTTACTGATCCCAAACGGTTTTTATATTTGTGGAATGCCCCTTCTTTTAAAGTGTCTAAAAAAAAAATAAAAAAAAAAGGTTTATTTTACTGTAAAAATTATTTTTTCATAATTCAAAAGCTACCCACTGCGTGGAATAACCTATAATGTTTTGAGTAATATTTAATGTATTATTTACAAAAAGAATGAGAGTATGACTGTGTATATCACTCTTGTCTACAGATACAGGTCATATATGGAAACATCTTGAAAAGGCTCTCTAAAGTTCATAAGCTCATATGTGACAGTTTTTAACTGCTTGTCATCTCAAATCTGTATCCCCCATCCCTCCACCTGTGCTCAACACTGTATTGAACTGCCACAGAAGTGAATTGTGATCTCAATTTAAACAGACACAGATGCCTCGATGCAGGACTTGTACCAGCAAACACTTTCATTGGTCAAGCCCAGTAGCTCAAGGGCTGCTTTTGTCTGTTTTAACCTTTGGAGTGATACTACCTATATGCTGTCATCGTCTCCTTTACTCATATTATTTTTTAAAGACTGTTTATCTTGATTCACTAAGTGATGCAGCACTACAAGAAAGCTACGCCAGAGGCCAGGAAGCCCTGCATTTCTGGGAAGCAGCAGCTTCTACAAAAAGCCTGAAAGACCCATTGGAAACAGTTGCCAAGAATCCGGATCTCTTGGTCACTGTCGTGACAGCCAGGAGAGCAGAGGGGAGGGACTATCACTACCTATTACAAGTTGCACAACAGCTCCATTCTCTCCTCAATGCATGTGGTGAAAAACCATGTGCTGAGGTCATGCTCTGTGACGTCGAAAGCGGTCCCACTTTAAATGAGGATGCTTTGCTTTTGGAGAAACAGTTTTTGGTTTTTAGACGTTCTCCAGATGAGAGGTGGCAGAACAGAGACGTGGCCAACATCTTCGAGAAGGAGAAAAGAGATTATGTTTACTGTCTACGCAAAGGATGGGACCTGATGAGGCCGAAAAACGTTGTTGTCCTGGAGGATGATGCACTTCCCTTGACAGATTTTTTTCCATCGGTTAAAAATATACTGTCGCGGAGAGTTGCACTTAATACTTTATACATAAAACTCTACCATCCAGAACGTCTGCAGAGATACTGGAATCCAGAGCCTTATCGCATTCTAGAATGGATGGGTCTCGGCCTGTTTGGGGCTACAATCCTCCTCCTGTTGTTATCTTACTATACACCTCTTTCTTTTACCTTCTCAGCTCTTCATTTTCTCTTTCTGGCTCTCTACGTAATGGCTGTGGCTGAGCTGGCAGGGAGGCACTATCTCCTGGAGATCAGACGGCTTTCACCTCAGCTGTATGCTGTGTGTCCAGCCACTGAATGCTGCACCCCTGCTATGCTTTATCCAGGTAACGCTTCCATTCGAGCTGCCGAATACCTGGACCAGGCCATCTGTGCTCAGGGAAATGCGAAAGACATGGTGCTGTACAAGATAGCCAGATCGAGGCCAGGTGAGAAGGCACACAGTGTTGAACCCAATCTCATCAAGCATATTGGAGCTTACTCCTCCATCAGGACGAACCCCGTTCCACCAAGATTAATATGACATCAGATTGTTCTCATAGAACATGTCAAGTTAAATATAAAACATATTTCAGGCACGGTTTTAACATGTACTCATTGAGAAGTTAGACACAATAACACTTAGATTGGGGCCCAAAAATTGTCTATACTCACATACACTGATTTATTTGGATATAAATAACAAAAATAAAACCTAGAGAAGTTTTATATATGTGACCCCTTGTTTGCTGCAGCTTCGGTCACCGATGCTTTAAGAATGTGATGTATTTTTATACACATTTCTATCTTGACTAAAGAATGGTATGTTTCAATTTTGCAGTCTTTACAATGTTATATATTTGAGATTGATATATTATTATTATTATTACTTGCATCTGCTAGAATGATCATTATCTTTCATTAGTGAATTTCCTGGTTTCGTTTATATACCACACCAGCAATAAAATAATTTTATATTTCATGGCTGAAATGTGATTATGTTTAAAGAAATCATAGCTGGTTGTTTTCCAGAAAACTAGTTTTTAATCAAGTTTTGAGATTTACACCTAGATTGCTGCTTGTCTTTTAAAATAATGTTATCAACTTTTGTCTATTTGTCTAGTGCAGAAAAAATGGAAAAATTTATTTTTGCATCAGAAGGGAATTAATAGGGTTATGAACATGACTTTATATCAATCATAAATTAATGGCAAGTTTGCACAGTCAAAACACTTTAAAATTAAGATAAAAATATCCCCAGATACTGATTTATTTACGTTAAAAGAGAGAGAGAGATTGTTTGCATGGACTTGTATTGATCTCTCAATATATGGCGTTTATAGAAATCACTTTTGGTAGAAAATAAATATTATTTTAAAATGTACAGTTGTTGGTCTCTTTTTTTTTATTTTTATTTTTTTATACAGGCTCTGTTTCACTATTTTTATATACACCCCTATTTGTCTAGTGCAGAAAAAATGATTTTTGCATCAGAAGGGAATTAATAGGGTTATGAACATGACTTTATATCAATCATAAATTAATGGCAAGTTTGCACAGTCAAAACACTTTAAAATTAAGATAAAAATATCCCCAGATACTGATTTATTTACGTTAAAAGAGAGAGAGAGATTGTTTGCATGGACTTGTATTGATCTCTCAATCTATGGCGTTTATAGAAATCACTTTTGGTAGAAAATAAATATTATTTTAAAATGTACAGTTGTTGGTCTCTTTTTTTTATTTTATTTTTTTTATACAGGCTCTGTTTCACTATTTTTATATACACCCACATACATACATACATACATACATACAAGTTGATAATACATTATATGATGTTGTGGTGTTCCTCTTGTGTTGAGATCTCAGAGTAAATTACAGTGTAAACATAAGGGAACAATGGGTTAATCATAACAGTCGTTGGGGTGTTTTCTTGAGCCTGTGGATCCTCTCCGCTATTTCCGCTGGATTCAGTCACATGACCGGTCAAAATACACAGCATTGCGAACTCCGTTTTAAGGAAATAGTATATTGAATGCTTATACATGTTCTTGACTATTTATATTATTCGCTCCATAATTGTTTATTTGGAGGCTGACGCCAAATGAGACATTTCCAGCTTTTGGAATATGCGGGATTTAGCCAATCAAATCCTACTATGGCGAGGCCTCCTCTTGTGAATATTAATTAGATATGGCGTTCATCCTATCAAAGCAAGGCATCTCCTCAATGGAAGGCTGTGCCTCTTAATATTAAATAGATCATCCTCGCGTTGATTGGTGAGATGGCTTGTCTACTAAATATTAATTAGGTCATTTTGACGTTCGGTGATTTTCCATATGTGAAAGCGTGGCTCATAAAGTTGTAATAGCGAGGCCTTCGCCATACTAGGATGAGTAAATTCGCTTCGTTTGCAAGATGAACTTTTTCCAGACGGGATTTCCTGCGAACTGGATCTGTATCAGCTGCGTAAGGACAGGGACAATTTGAGGAATAGAGAAAAATGTCTGAGAGCGAAAAACCAAAGGGCCATACTTTATCAAAGGATAAAGTTTTAACCAATGGAGGAAATAATGTTTCCAGTAACCCTTCAGATGAGATGACAGAGGTATGTTACGTGGATATGGTGTTCTTGGAAACTGAAAATGTAATCATCTAAACATATGGGTTTAAAAAACAAGTTCTGCTTAATAGATGGAACTCTGATTCTAAGTTTAGATTATTTGGGATAGAAAGTCTCTTGAACTTAACGCAACATGGACGATCCTTTTAAATTGTGGAACAAGAGAAACGTCTTCCTTGTAAAGAGAAAAAAAGTTAGCCTTTTGCAAACATTTCAGACGTTCTTGTTAATTGTTTATCATTTGTAGAGAGCTGCATTGTTATGATAGTCTGCCATACAAATGTAATCATGCATGGACTAAACTGTTAACTGTAAGAATAATCATGCACATATTAGTCCTATTTTTTCAAAGAGTTTTAAGTGATGGCTGTAGTTTGAAAAGTTGTTATAGGAACAAAAATATACAAAATAGTTTTGATAAGTTGATACGGTGTGCCACTCCATTTAATTCAGTTTTACACAGCCTTTTGCTAATTATTTAATTTATTAAGTGTTATTTATGCAGATTTTATGACATGATATTAATTGAGAGATTACATGGTATATTTGCACTTTTATAAATCCATTTGTCACTCCACAGAAGCATTTAAAATAAACTAGAAAAGGTGAGATGTGGATAAATAAATTATTTTATGTGGACTATAATGGCCTATCAAACTGGTTTATATTCACTCTTTTTGGTCTGTGGGTTTTGCTGATGTTGTTTTAGAAATTCGACCTTGCCACAGTCTATGTGTCAGATGCCCAGTATAACAGGAACATCTTTTTTGATACTTCACCACAGGCTGTGAGGTAAGAGATGATGTTCTAGCAATCATTTACATAACTTGGACTATTACTAGATTATGCATTAAAAAATCTGTAAAATATTCCACAGGCTGTACTTGTTGTACAATCACTGGTTCATGCAGACGCTGGTATACGCATTCATCATTGTAAATCTTGCTCTGGCTCTCTTTGAGGATCCTGCTGTTGTGCCACTTCCTATATGGGTATGACTTACGTTTAACTATAAAGCATGTATTATGCTCTATATTCTGAAATTAAAAATTGCCTATGATTGTGTAAACGGGGAAACTTCCTAAACACTGACACTGTATATTTAACATTTTTATATATAATACATTGTTTTAAATGTTTTAACACTGATCGAATTTGCAATATACTGTACTCTCCAAGTGCATAACTTGGCTAGCAACATAAAAGAGAGCTTTTATGACATCCTGGATTCCATGCCAACCCCCCATATCACACAATGGGATATTTCCTGGAAATTCATGTTCATTGAAAAACGTCTTTTTCATTGAAACGCTTCACATATAAGAACGTCAAATGTAGTGATATTCTATAACTTCATGTGTGTGCGCGCGCATATGTTATGTTCTCTAGGCGACTTCGACAATTGAGATCATATGTCTCTCTGCGTTCAGTGTGCGGATGGTACACTATGCCAAAGTCATTCCAAAGGATAAATTCTGGAAGGATCCCAAAAATATCTGCATCATAGTCGTTGTAACGGTAGGCCTCTAATCTAAAATGCATGTTTTAAGCATATTTTTGGACTGTTCATTTCCATTTAATTTACAGGTACATAATTAGTTTTATTTTGTTTATATCATAATATATTATTCATATAATATAATACTAATGATTCAACCTCAAGTATTCTGTTTGAACAAGAGTAAATGCTGAGAAAGTAGTCTTAACATTGTGAAATGAACTTTAGCCCATAGTTTGTCATTCTCAGCAGTTCTGCATGATCACCAGGAAATGTGACGTTCACTGACTATGAGTAGACATTTAGTGAAGCCAGGCAGATGGTTTACGAGTGTCGTGATCTAGCTTGCATACCTAGAAATTTTGGGAGATTTGGAATGCAACTGCATTTTTATTTCATGACCTTTCTTTACTCTTCCCATCTCACAGCTCTCTTTCATAGATTTGACTATATACGGGGCTCTGAAATCAACTGGCTACTTTGCCATCCGATGGTCGAGGGTCTTAAGACCACTTCTGTTAGTCAATGTTACAGAGGGAAGACAAGTAAGAAAACTACCATCAAAAGAAAATAGATATAATTTTTTATCAATTATTTTTCATGTATTTCCTGCATTATTTAATTAACTTACCAGTTCATTCATTTGTTCTTTTTTATGAGGTGCAGTTATCCATTCTATCTATCTATCTATCTATCTATCTGTCTATCTTTCTCTCTCTATCTATCTATCTTTCTCTCGCTATCTCTCTCTCTCTCTCTCTCTCTCTCTCTCTCTATATATATATACAGTATATCATCAAAAGTGACGATACAAACATTTGTTACAAAATATTTCTCTCTCTCTCTCTCTCTCTCTCTCTCTCTCTCTCTCTCTCTCTCTCTCTCTCTATATATATATATCATCAAAAGTGACAATACAAACATTTATAATGTCACAAAATATTCCTGAAAAAAATGCATCTTATTGCCACAAAAAATATTAAGCAGCACAACTGTGTTCAACAATGATAATAAGAAATGTTTCTTGAGCACCAAATCAGCATATTAGAATGATTTCTGAAGGATCATGTGACTCGACTAGAAATTCAGCTTTGTCATCACAGAAATTAATTATATTTTAAATTGAAACAATATTTCACAATATTTCTGTGTTTACTGTATTTTTGATCAAATAAATGCAGCCTTGTTGAGCACGAGTAATTTTTTTTATTTTTTTTATAAATTACAAACTTTTACAGATCCTAAACTTGGTAGGGTATGTCCTTAGGGCACAAATGTCTCTCCTCCAGTCCCATTCTTTTCTCTTTTTTTTGTAGCTGCGCAGGGCGTTCAGGAGTATTCGGAATGCGCTGCCTCAGATCTCCTATGTTTTTCTCTTATTCATGTTCAGCGTGTTGGTCTTTTCTCTCGTGGCTCTTAAATTGTTTGGGAAAAGGTAACCCTAAATACAGTGTCATCCATTTGTACCTCTGGTTTTTCTAGTTATCTCATTTGTGTCTATTGAAAAATAGTTTATTTACCATTAAACTGCTCGTTGTATCTTTTTCTTTTATCCCAGGGGCCTTCTTACCATTGATGGTTCTCCATATTTCACAGACTATTTGGATATTGTTTTTGATCTTTATGTTTTAGTGACCACTGCTAATAGCCCTGATGTCATGTAAGTCTTAAACTGTTGTTTTTTTTTCAGAGTTTTTTTCTTTGGTGAAATTTGTATTAGTGTGCAATTGTATATTCAGTAGTACAAAAGATTTTCAGCAACCCACAATATGCTTTAAGCATGCTATGCATATGCTTCTGTAATATTGTTTTTATGTTTTCATTGTAGGATGCCAGCATACAACTACAGTGTTTTCTTCACTATTTTCTTCATTCTATACATTATTATCAACACATATACCTTCATGTCCTTCTTTCTGGCTGTCGTTTACAGTAACTACAAAAAGCACCTTAAGGTATTCACATATTTTTAATGTCAGCATGCAAATTTCTCATGGTATTTGCACATTTACGTTGATCTCATTTTAAAGAAATTATTTACTTTAAAATAAGAAAATCTTGAATTAATATTATTATCTATCTATATGTCTATCTCTCTATCAGTCTATCTAGTTCTAGTGAAACGCTGACTTGATTTATTTCATGCTTTCTAGGAGGAAGTCCGGCAGCTGGTGAAGGCCAGAAGATTTAAGATGTGCCGGGCGTTTTCTTTGCTTCATGAGGCCCGGGGTGAAGGTGGAGAGCCT